TCTCTCTCCTAGAAATAAAAATATTAAAAAAAAAAAAGAAAGAGAAGTTTTAGAACAGGTCCTGTAGGCATGAGAAATCAGAGGTCTCTTTCTTGTGTTTTCCCTTACCTGTTTCAGAATTTCCAGGTCCTTGCCAATTTGCCAAGCCCCGGGACTCAAAATAACAGGCCAGCGATCCGAAGGTATAAGGGGAGGGTTGTCTTAAGGTGCCTATGTACACCGGCACCAACAGAACACACACGCACTCTCTCTCCATCGCCTTTTAAAAAAAGTTTTTTAAGCGTTTTATTTAGGGGTGCCTGAGTGGCTCAGTTGGTTAACGTTTTATTTATTTCTGAGACAGAGAGAGACAGAACGCATGAGCAGGGGAGGGGCAGAGAGAGAGGGATACATAGACTCTGAAGCAGGCTCCAGGATCTGAGCTGGCTGTCAGCACAGAGCCTGACGCGGGGCTCGAACCCACGAACCGTGAGATCATGACCTGAGCCGAAGTCGGACGCTCAACCGACTGAGCCACCCAGGCGCCCCAGGTATACTCTCTTAAAAGGAGATAGAAGGAGGGGTGCCTGGGTGGCTCAGTCGGTTGAGCGTCCGACTTCGGCTCAGGTCATGATCTCACGGTTCGTGGGTTCGAGCCCCGCGTCAGGCTCTGTGCTGACAGCCAGCTCAGATCCTGGAGCCTGCTTCAGAGTCTATGTATCCCTCTCTCTCTGCCCCTCCCCTGCTCATGCGTTCTGTCTCTCTCTGTCTCAGAAATAAATAAAACGTTAACCAACTGAGCCACTCAGGCACCCCTAAATAAAACGCTTAAAAAACTTTTTTTAAAAGGCGATGGAGAGAGAGTGCGTGTGTGTTCTGTTGGTGCCGGTGTACATAGGCACCTTAAGACAACCCTCCCCTTATACCTTCGGATCGCTGGCCTGTTATTTTGAGTCCCGGGGCTTGGCAAATTGGCAAGGACCTGGAAATTCTGAAACAGGTAAGGGAAAACACAAGAAAGAGACCTCTGATTTCTCATGCCTACAGGACCTGTTCTAAAACTTCTCTTTCTTTTTTTTTTTTAATATTTTTATTTCTAGGAGAGAGAGAGAGAGAGACAGCGTGAGCAGAGGAGGGTCACAGAGAGAGGGAGACACAGACTCTGAAACAGGCCCCAGGCTCTGAGCTGGCAGTCAGCACAGAGCCCGACGCGGGGCTCGAACCCACGAACCGCGAGATCATGACCTAAGCGAAAGTCGGACGCCCAACCGACTAAGCCACCCAGGTGCCCCTAAAACTTCTCTTTCAAGTGTTGCAGGGCCAGGTACAGCATTGGTACTAAGGAAGATACAGATGTGAATAGAACATGGTCCTTGGCCGTGAAGGGTTTACAGTCCAGGGGAAGGGGCCAGACATATCCCCAAAGCTATCAATACAAACCATACTGCAAAGGAGGCAGAGAGTTCTGAGTCTTCGAGGCCCCAGGAGTCCAGGCACAGTTGCAGAGGTCAGGAAAGGCTTCAGGAGCAAATGGCATTTGGGAGACATACAACATTTTCACAAGTGGAGATGGGAATGGGGCGAGGTGGGAGTCCCGGAGGAAGAATCCGTATGGTCACAACCATGGGTGCAGAAGAGGGGATGCCCTCAAGAGCACGTGAATCGTTTAGGGTGGAAGGTAAGACACTGGCAGAGAGCGGGCCCAGAAAGGTGGACCGGGCCTGGAAACGCCAAGCCAAGGAGTTGCCATTGAATTCTGCATGCCGGGGACAAGCCACTGGAGGGCGTTACACTGGGTGACTAACAGATTTCTCTACTGAGGACATATGTGGGCACTGCCCTCGGCTGGAGGGGACAGCCAAATTCCTTCTCTGACTTCGATTCGATGCACTTCAACACATCAATACAGAGAAAGTACTCTCCGGGAGGCCCTACACAGATGGAAGGAAAGATGAAATAACGTCAGTCTGTGTCTTTAACAGCCTTGCGGTTTGGGGACAGGGAAGAGAGAGGCAAAGGGGGGGGATAGGGATGTGTAGAACGATATCACGATATCACGTGAGTTCTGAAAGAAGCATCATGGAAGCAAGGGGCTTAGACCTTCCTAATGGGGGTTCTGCCGCTTTATTTTTCAATATTAGACTATCAGCTTCTCAAACCCCAGAGCCAGACTTTCTTCGGCCTCTGCACAGGCTGGGTCTAGCTCAGGGGTGGCACGTGTTAGACATTCACTGAAGGACGGAGAGAAGGAAGAACTCTCCCACCACGTGTCACTGGCTGAGGATGTCTGTGGTTGCGTGCACAGGGCAGTATCTGACTTTGGTTCATGTCGTCCATCTCTTCTCCCACCCATATTTTGTTCACTTTAATCCTCCTTCGCTGGCAATACCAGCCCACACTATCTTCCTGGACCCTGATTCTGTCAGTGATCACAGACTCTGTGCTGCATAATTTAAGTCCCCTGTATCCCTTGCAGCTGCTTCCTGTGTGCTAGTCATGTAAACTCTTGGAAGGCAGAGTCCCCTTCTTAAATGACGGCATGCCCCACAGTACCTAGAATATATTGACTGTTGACTGGCTGGGAAGCAGGGCCCACGGCAGGAAGGAGGGGGCCGAAACTAACATGGCGCAGCGTCAGGACTGTGCTGGTGCTGTGCACACAGTCACAAAGAGCCTGAATAATGTGGCCAAGTGAAGAGAAGGCTCGGGGAAGAACAGTTTTGCTGTCTGATTCAGGCCCTGAATCTCTGGCTTCTCATCTCCGAAGACAGAAGAGGAGAAAGTGTGTCCGAACTGCAGCATATGGGATGGATGGAAGGATCTGATGGATGTGAAATTAAACACTGGAGTGGATTGCCTAGAGAGGCCCCGAACCGCCCCCGTCTGTGAATGTCCTTAATGACAGAAGGGATCAGCACGAAGCTGAAGCTACAGGACGTGCTCTCCTGAGCAGCGACGGACAGTCCACCCTCACTATTCCTTGTCAGGGTTCTAAGCACGAAAGGCGAGTCCTTTGGGGTAAAGCATATTAGAGGAACTGTTGCTTTGCCCTTTTGTTTAATGGTCTCCCGATGTAGTAAACAAAGTTCAGGATTAGCTGACTGCAGGCACACTGACGTGCGGAGAAATTAAGTAGACTCTCGCATCTATCCAGCTCATTTGCCTAAGAATGATGTATCCCACGGCCAGAAAGCGACCCCCAAACCCTTTCAACTTCATCCAGTATAAAGCTGACACAACTCCTCCTGTATTTGACAGTGTGTTCCTGCTTGCAGTGGATGTTTTCTGCCTCCCTCACTAGATTGTCTGGGGCTGGTGTTCGGCGTAATTGTTTCTCCAGGCTCTCCTGATGGCGAGTGCTCAATAAACACACACATGAATAATATCTACCATTACACAATAACGTGAAAGCACTTTCCCCACAGTGTTCCCAATTTGGTCCTCACAATAACCTTGTGAAGCAGGTACCATGGTTAACTCCCATTTTCCAGATAAGCACATTTTCCAGCTATTGGCACACCCAATGTCACCCAGTGGGTAAGGAGTTCTTTCCACTGCACCCTACTGCTTAAATGAACCATACAGCCTGAACAAGGCATCAGCTCAGTCTCCCCCCGCCGCGGCCCCATACAGATTCCCCCCACCCCCCGCAAAGCAACATGCATTATATTTCAGACATACATCAATCAAGTCCAAGCTCAGTCTATGTTGAATAAATGAAAGGGTGCATTATACAACGGATGATCTGCACGCAGTCAGTGGAAAAGAAGCAACTTAAGGGGAGAGAGAATCATGCAAACCATTGTCAAGGCGTCTACTGGGTGTCAGGTATTGGAAAACAGGACAGGACGCCACTGTTCTGCCCTCAAGGCGCCTACCGTCCACTGCAAGAGACAGACGTTAAACAAGTAGTACCACAGTAAACTTATCACAATTTTGCTAAATGCTACTAAACGTAGCAGCAGGGGTGCTCTGGTCCCGAGGAAGAGCGACTGGCACTCGCTGTAGGAAGGTTGGCCTCTTTTGGGCAGGGGGGATACACTTAGAGGCATTAATCCAGGCAAATCAAATAGGCGAAAGGCGTAGGGAAATTGCTTTTCACAACCCCAACTCTCCAGTCCCGCTGCCTGGCCTCCAACCTGCTTGTGAAAATCAGGAAAGGAAAAGAAAAGGCAAGAGAGAAGTTCGAGGTCCGTTTCTGCAAGCGGGGCGGGCGGTAAGGAGGAGGAGGAGAGACGGGAGGCGGCACCGAGGGAGTTAAGAGGACCGGTCCGGGAAGGGAAGGGTTAAGGGGGGACGTCCGGAGCAAGACCGGTAGGCCCGCCCACCGGAGGGTGGGGGCGGAGCCTCGCGGAGTGAGCCCTTGGATTGGTCGCGGGGAAGGCGTTACGCTAGGACGGTACCAACAGTCGGGGGCCGCGGAGGCGGGGTGGGGGGGGTGGGTGTGGGACCGCCGGCTTAGCGCGGGGAGAGTGGCCAGGGAATGGCCGGGCCGGGGGTGGGCGGGAGCCGCAGTGGCGGCGGCGGCTGGGGGCGGTGAGCGCGGCGTGGGGCTGCCCCTCCCCGAGGGCGGCGGGGGCGGCCGGGCCGCGCCGCACCGCAGCGCGCGGGCGGCCATGGAGCGAGCCTAGGGCCTGGCAGGTGAGCGGCGTGGGGGCGGGGAGGGCGCGCGACCCCCGCCCCCGGCGCGGCGGGCGGGAAAGTGCGGGCCGCCTCGCGGGCTGGGCGCGGTGCGTGGCGCGCACCGGGCGGCGGCCGCTTGGGGGCGGGGCGCCTCCCTGAGGGGCCGGGCGCCGGTACCCCGAGCGGTCCCCGAGCGGCCGCTGGCGGGTCCCGGATCTGGCGCCACTGCTGCCTTGGAGACCGGCCCCGGCCGCGCGCCCCGCCTCGCTGGCCCCCAGGCGGGCTCCTGCGGGCGGGTGCGGCCGGAGGGGCGCCTCCTCGGCCCGCCTGAGGCGCGGCCTTACCTGCGGCCGCCTCGGGCCGCCCGGGGTCCTTCTAATGACCACCCCTCGAGCCCCGGCGCGGTCCCTAGAGGCAACTGGCCCCAGTGCCGCCCTCGCGTCCCGCCGAGCGCCCGTTGCGGCGGCCCGGGGAGGATCGCGCGCCCGCGGGCCCACCTCGTGGCCGAGAAGCGAAAGTGACCACCAGGCCCGAGGCGGGAGGAGGGGTAACCGTGCCGGGGCTCCGCGGTCTCTCGGGATCGTGCACCCCGCACTCGCACTCGGGCACAACTTAAGGAAATGATACGGTAGTCCGGAGTGGGTTGCGCTTGAGATTTCATTTCCGGGTGTGTGGGCCCCGCAGTTAAAAGCGAACCGAAACGTTGCCATTCTTTCTGGATGGGAGCGGTTGTCAAGCTGCGCCCTTGATTGTGGGATCTGATAAGAGTTTCGTTCCAAGCAGGCTTGTCTGCGAGTCTTCCGGTAGGAAGGGAAGGGGTGAAGGATGTTGGAGAGAAAGTGGAGAGGACGGGGCATGATTGGTCGTTATGGAATTTTAATCCTTTAAATGGCTATATTATCACTTGGATGGGTGAGGAGTGTATAATTTAGGAAAATTAGAGATGCTTGATACTGCGACTTTGAGGCTAGGTAGGGCCAGGTATCCGTATTCTCTCCACCCAGTTTCCGTCTGGAGATTTGATTTCTCACCTTGAAAAGGGAAGAGGAATGTGGGATCTTTTAGCTTTTAATCTGTAGGACTTTATAGGTTTATACATGAATCTGGTGATTAAGGTTGATGTTTGCTAACTATTGCTATCCTCGTGCTATAAATTAATGCATAAATTTCTTTGGGGTCGCTTTTACAAATTGAGTTAGAGACCTAGAGACCTCCATGTGCTTATTCCTTGAGTTTATGCAGGACCTCTAAGGCTAAGCCTTAGAGCCCCTCTACATATATTTATCAGCAAGACGTGTCTTTGGGAAACTGCGGTACAGGTGTTAAAAATGCTAAATTATTTGCCTAGGCTCAGAACCAACCTGAGATAGATTTAAAATTAATGTTCTGTGTTAATAACTTTTCTGGAGCTTGCGAAGTTGTTGGACTTTGGTCCCTGGAACCCTACAATGGAATCAGTCAACAGGAGGGGTTTCCACATTTCAAAGTGCTTATCAGAGGAGAATAAAAAAGCGCAAACAAGTAATTCAGATTCTCAACCTCAGTCACAAGAAAGTGCTGTGATGGAATGGTCGTGGCAAAAGATGATCGAGGAATCTCAGGGCGCACAACTTCTCTTCAGCGTGTCTCATGAAAATGTGGTGTTGACTTGTTTTGTTGTTTTTCTGAGCCTCATTGGAAAATAGCTACGATTTGGTTAAAGAGTGAAAACTTGAAAACACACGCCCTACTTTCCTTTCTGGGTACTTTGAATTAGGGAACCAACAAACAAATCCCTGTTTCTATCATCTAGTCTTCGATGTCTTCAAATTATTTCACGTTGAGTTCCTAATTCTTTGACTTTTAGTCCATTCTCTTGATTTCCATTTGTTAGACTCCAGCTCTCTCACATGCCCTTAAAGTTTCTTCTTTTTATCTTTCCTGAATTTTGAATTTCTAAATGAAATTGTTTGTTTGTTTACTTGCAGGGCAGACTTGAGCTTCTCACACTTTGTGTGACCATCATTTTCAATGGTGTAAACCCTGAAGCCAGATACTGCAGCTCTCGAACTGATAACTTTAAAAATAGCAGCCACAGTGCTTGTCTCTTGATGATTGGTGCAATCTCATAATAGACGCGGAGGCTGCCCTTTGTATTCTGTGGCCACAGTTGCAAACAATAAAAAGGAGACAGCCTGAAGCTGATGTCTGGTCACCCGGAGACTAAGTGCCATGTGGTTTTGTAGATTGAGGTAGGAAGTTACAACAGGCACTACAGTTTGTTGTAATAGTGAGGATAATTGGCATACTTTGCTCTCTGCACCTAACGGCACAGTGCAGAGTAGATGTGCAAGAAATATTTGGTGGTTGAACGAATGAGTGGAAAACAGTATGAAGGAAGGGGAAATACTCTAGTGTATGAATTGGTGAGTTCCTCTTTTTGTTACGGAAAAGACAAAGTGTGTTTCGGATTACTGTTGAAAACTGCTGTTAAGATTGGGGTAACGGTACAGGCTGTTACTTGCTAGGGTGGCCTTGAGATTTGATTCTGTGATTGTATGCTGTTCTAGCCACCTGCAGCCTCTGGGCAGCTAGTGGTGCTCCGGTCAGATGCAGCTTCGCAGACTTGCTCCTGCGGCCTTCTCTGGCTAGACTAACCGAGCAGTTGGATTGGTTGGTAGTCAATATTTTTGCTTTACTGGAAGAACTGGAGCGCTTGGTGATGGCCTCGCCATTATCATTGATCCTGATTGTCGCATCTTCTCATCCCTTACGGAGGGTGATGAGAAAGGAGGGCTGTCCCTCTGGAAGTGCTTCTTCAGCAGCTCCTTACTCCAAACCTATATTAGTTCTCCCACTTTTCCTTCCTTGAGCTGCCTCTGTGACTCCCAAGGGCTAATGAATTCATTAGCACAGACCTGGGGAATGGAAGACCTCACTTTGCAACTGAAAGCAGCTTCTGAGTGGCTTATAAGGTCAACGTGCCGCTGGAGCCCTCTAGGAGAGCATGTAACGCAGATATCTCACTTGTGATTTGGTCTCCTATCCAAAAGCAAAAGAGGAAAGAGAGGCCTTCCATGATGAGCCTTGGGGGTAGATGTGTCATCCCCCGCACGAGATAAGAAGTGGAGCCTGATGCAGGAAAGAGATCGCTTTGGTGTGTGTTCAGAGGTCTGTGCTTTCTGGTGAGGTGACAGTTCAATGAGGGGGGATGTTAGTTTGGGTACATGATAAAAGGAGGTCAGGGAACATGAAATTATGAGTGTGTAATGGAACCAAGTACAGGGGTGAGTCTGTGATGGAGCAGGGCCTGGAAGCGATTGAAATATGTAGGGTGTTTGCCCTCCTCTGCTTTTTGAATTCCTGATTCTGCCTTTAATAGCCTGCCTCTTCTTTCACAGGTGGGAAAGTTATACTTGTGCTGTTGTTAGTGTCCCTGCCACCCTCTTTCAAATGGGCAGCTTCTGGGGCACCTGGGTGGCTCAGTTGGTTAAGCGTCTGACTTCGGCTCAGGTCATCATCTCACAGTTCGTGGGTTCGAGCCCCGCGTCAGGCTCTGTGCTGACAGCCGCCAGCTCAGAGCTTCGGGCCTGTTTCGGAGCCTGTTTTGAATTCTGTGTCTCCCTCTCTCTGACCCTCCCCTGCTCACGCTGTCTCTCTCTCTCTCTCTCTCTCTCTCTCTCTCTCAGAAATAAATAAAACATTTAAATAAATAAATAAATGGGCAGCTTCTGGTCTTCTGTAAAGTAGCAGCCTGGGTGACTGCTTCCTGAGGGAACGCGAAGTGGCCATCTGGGCTTCGCGAGATAGTGGATGGACTTTGGACCAGTGATTTGGCCACCCAAAGACATTTTGTTGACGCCTTGTTTCTTATCGTTGGTTTAGATAACAGACTTGCACCCTGTGGGGCCGGGGGGTGGAGGGGTGCCTTTGTGTTTCTGTAGTTCTTCCGCAGGAAAGGGAAATACTAGCGGTGGTTCTCACTTCGGAAACCATCGCCAGGGACACCTGAAGATCTGGCTCCAGCCCCGTCTCCTGTCATTCTCTGCCAGTGTCTTGGGCCATCTCCAGTCTTCCTCTTAGTGTCTGCAGCTCGCCTTTGCTCCCGGCCCCAGCCAGGAGCAGGCACACGCTTGGCCGTAGCCTTGAAGGGTGGAAGCAGGCCGTATGGCGGCAACACTTTAAAATTGGGTGTATAAGACCAGTGTACGTGTTTTGAGATTTCTGCATTTTTTACTGTGCTGTGCATCTGAATTTGTTACAGGACTTCGTTTCTCTGTGTCTGTTAAGGAGGCCATCTTTAGATCAAGAGGCTGAAGACGCTTTTATAACCATGCAGGTTTCCCTCCTTGCTCCTTTTATTCCATGGGCATCTACCGAGTGGCCCTCCCACACCTGCACTGTGCCGGCTTGTGGGGAAGTACAGAATGGAAAATATATCCCCTGTCCTTGAGGAGCTCACAAAATAGTAGAGGAGACAGGCATGCCAAAAAATGTGTGTGTTTATATTCATATTTTAACAAAGGGATTGTGCCTGGAGCCACTCAGCGTCAGTTCAGCCCAGACCTGCTTGGGGGTTCTCCTGTTTCTAGAGTGATCTGTGTGACCTGTCAGTTTGACACACCCACAACATAAGGTTAATCACGTGAGGTGTTATTATTGCATAAAGCTAATATACCTTTCCAGAACTGTAGTGAATGGAGCTGTGTAGACAGAAAACAGGAAAATCTGAAGGATAGCATTATATTCTTCGAAATTCCGTATTTCCACACAATCTGGGAATTATGTCCTATAAGAGAGCCTTCAGTGGTGGTTATATACTCAATGACAGTTGAGCCATGAGATAAATACCTAGAACTTGGGATGGTTTGTTTTGCCTGGTCCATTTGAAACAGAATGCAAATTCTTAGCTATTTCCAGAGTTTCTAGATCAATGAACACTGCCCTATGTTGGCTTTTTTAGAACAAACCTCACTTTAGCAGTAGGAGCTAAAGCTTTTTCCTTTTCCTTTTTCAAGGAATAGGGTTATAGAGTTGCCCTAAATCAACGTCTAAATGGCACAGGTTGCAGGGATTGAGTTTTTTCCAGAGGGCACAAACACTTTTTATTGCCTGTGTCATTTTGCTCTCACACCCAGGAAGACAGGCAACCTTTATGCTTCCCTCATGCCTAGTGATCATTTTAGTTAGCTTCCTTCATGGGACACTGTTAGAGGAGTTCACATAGAGATTACAAGTTTACAGATCTGAATAAATGTTTAAGTGGAAGTGAAAACAGTCGGGGGAAAAGTAATACTCGGAGTAATTTGGACTATGTGGGAATTTGATTTTCTATACCTGATAGCTTTAAGTTACTCTTAAGGCCTATCTTAAGAGCTTTAGGACATGCAAAACTATGATCTTTTTTTTTTAAGTTTACTGAGTTATTTTGAGAGAGAGAGAGAGAGAGCATAAGTGGGGTAGGGGCAGAGAGAGAGAGGGAGGGAGGGAGAATTCCTATCAGTCTCCACACTGACACAGTGCAGAGCCCACATGGGACTCGAACTCATGAACTCTGAGATCATGACCTGAGCGGAAATCAAGAGTCGGACACTTAACCAACTGAGCCACTAGGCTCCCCTTAATTTGTATTTTAGAGAGAGAACACAAGTGGGAGAGAAGGGTAGAGGGGGAGAAAGAAAGAAAGAATCTCAAGCAGGCTCCATGCTCAGTGCTGAGCCTGACGCAGGGCTCAATCCCATGGCCAAAATTAAGAGTCACATGTTCAACCGGCTTGAGCCACCCAGGTGCCCCCAAAGCTGTTGTCTTTAAAACAAAGAGCTGATTTTCCAAAGTGAAGGCATTTTATTTCAGTCTTTATCGTGGAATAGAATCACTTAATGCTTCCCATCGTTGAACGTGGTAGATGTGAACTTTGTAGAGAAGAGAAATCGGAGGGTCCTTTTAGCGACATAGCTTCCCAGTCTTCTACTTCACTTGGTACCCACTTTGAGGATACCAGCTTGCTTATAGTCTTAGCTACGCTTCACATTTAGGAAAGGGTTTGGTTCAGGAATGTGAGACCACTGAAACTCTCCGTAATGTGACTTGTGAACTTAGCCCCTGACTCTGCAACCCAGAAGACAACATAATTAGGATTATTTTCTTTGTCATTCTTTCTCCTTTCAGGTCACCTGTGGGCTTTTGATTTTACAGTAATGACTAATAGGCGATCACCACGGGTTGCCCAGGCACCGACTTTAGCACAGTATGCGTGGTAATGTCATTCATTTTTAGCAACTCTGTGAGTTAGTGTTCTGACTTCATTTTTCATACGAAAAAACTGAGGCCCAGAGAGGTTAGGCATTAAATCACTTTCCCTAAGAGCCACAGTAGGTGGTAAAGCAGGCAGTCTGAATCCAGAGCACAGGCTCTTACCCCTTCTGCCTCAAAACAGTTTATATTTAGAATAAGCAGCTATTTCCTTTTTTAAAAAAATTTTATTTTAATTCTAATGTAGTTAACGTACAGTGTTATATTAGTTTCAGGTGTACAATATAGTGATTCAACGATTCTATACGTTACTCAGTGCTCCTTAAGAGAAGTACTCCTAACCCCCATCACCTGTGTCCCCCATCCCCCTCCGGCCTCCCCATGTCCCCTCTGGTAACACCAGTTTGTTAAGTGTTAAGCGTCTGGGTTTTTGTCCCTCCTTCCCCCGCCCCTATTCATTTGTTTTGTTTTGTTTCTTAAATTCCACATACGAGTAGAATCGTAGGGTATTTGTCTTCAAGAAGCTATTTCTTAAGCAGAGAATTAGCAGGAAAAGGAAAACTTGAGGTAGATACTGATAAATAGTACTTGGTATTTTTGTTTTAGCTGAAGGCTGCCATCTGACGATGAGAGAGAAGAATGTGCTCTCGCGGTAGGCTGCGGGTGGCAGTGCAGGAACCCCATGAACGGGCTGGTCTTCTGGGGGACACTCGGGATGTATTCAGAAGATGAACATTTGATGCTCTTGATATTGGTGGTTTTGACTTCCTGGATAGAAAGAAGCACGCGGTGGAACGGTTTCCAAATGCTCTTGATTTTCCTCCAAGCTGCCAGTAACCAGCAGGAGAGACTGCACTTATTTGTAGGGGGCGGGTGGTAATAATGTAGCACAGTGCCCTGATGCCACTGCCAATTAAAAAACAGAAGGACCTTATATCGGACTTAGCCCAGGGTGAAAGTGGGTGTGTTTCTAATATTTTTTGTGCTAAAAGGTTGTGATTTTTGCTATTTATGCTTTGGCTGTAGTACGAATGGTAGGTTTTAGAAACTGGGCATGTGTAGTTGTGTGAGGGTGTGAGGTTAGTAGCCATTGTTCTAAAGTATGTAAATGGATTTTAGTAAATGATCCAGTTCAGACTCCATTTTTGACTTGTGTTCCCTTAAAGGGACCTTAATTCTCTATCTTCTTAAGCATCTACCATGAAGATAAATAGAAATGGTGTGTAACTTTCATAATGAATTTACGGGTCTGTAGAAGGCATTAATATTCATTTATAAATATTGAATAATCCAGTGTTTATATTTAATGATTACCGTTTCCCTTCTTCCCGAGAGAATTGTTTTTAGTCACATGATGTGTTTCCCTGTGTCTTCTCCCCCGATATTTTTAATGTCTCCGAAATAGTTGATAAGGGCAGAATATATACAACAATGTTGTCTTTTACAAACCACCCCAAAATTTAGTCGCTTATTCTTTCTTACCATTATGTAAGCCAGCTGGGTTTAGCTGGTTGGTTGTTCTGCCCAAATGGTTTATAGACTGAGAGCACATGTGTGACCCCATTTGACTGGGACCTCGCTTAGAACCGGGGTGGCTTCACTTTTGTGTCGGGCACTTGAGCTGGGGTGGCCAGAATAGCTAAGTCCTGGCCGGGCTCCTCTCTGCCTCTGTCCCTCCTCATTTAGGAGTCTAGCCCAAGCTTCTTTACATAGTGGCTGGGTCCCAGTTAGAAGCTGCTAGGTCTTTTAAGGGCTTGGCCCAGACCTGGCACACAGTCACTTCACTGCATTCTCTTGGCCAAAGCAAGTCACAGAGCCAGCCCAGGTTCCGGGGTAGAAAAAATAGATTCTGCTTCTTGATGGGAGGAATTGTTGGTGTCTGTCTTTGTAGATAAGCAACCAAAAACTCTTAAGTAAATTCAGGTCTTACCTCTTCTTATCCCCACCAGACCTTCAGAGCTTTGCTGAAACCTGCAGTTACTAAAGAAGAAGTTCATAAAAAGGGTCCTTGTAATTCCTACTCAAGATCAAGGGCGGGGAGGTTATGTGAGTAAATACGATTCTGTGTTATATGTTAAATTCCACCTGCTTTGCCTGAAATCTCCTTTGTGAATAGCCTCCTGCATGAAATGTTCATACTGAACATTGTGAGTACTTGATACTCACAGGCATGCTACATTCCATTTATGTGGAAAGAACGTTATTTGACCATTGAATTGAAAACGTAAGAAAAGGTTGTTACTGAAACTTTCACCTTTAGTTACTCTGCACAAAGGTTGGGATTTCTTCTCTTTGACCTGCGGAGAAATAGTGTGAGGATGGCAGCTGATCAGAGGGAGACTCAAGGGGCCACAGCTGCCAGTGAGACTTGGAGCCTCACTGGTGGCTCATGGGAGTTCCTACTAAGGCAGGAAGGGAGGGGCCAGGCGTGCGCAGGCTCCTCAGCAACCGCATGAATTGACTGTCATTTAGACCTGTCACCGCCACGTTTGTCTGCGTGTGTCCCTCCACACATCAGCTAGATTCTCAAGTGGAAGATTCATACTGAGACCTCATTTTTTTCTTGTGGAATCTGTATCTCTTCTCCCCAAGCAACTCAGTAGTCCTGAGTTTGTCCTTATAAAACACTTGTCAGATATATAGGGTGATGCGTGCGTGCGTGTGTGTGTGTGTGTGTGTGTGTGTGAGAGAGAGAGAGAGCGCCAAGAATGAAAGTAAATGAGCCTCCATGGCAAGCTTCATTTAGCTGATGGAGCTGCGGATGAAACCAGGGTTCAGGAGGAAAATTCCTTATAAAGGTCTGTCTTCCAGAACTCTAGTTTAAGAGCTTATGCCAGCTTTTAGTGTGAAGACTTCCATTTACATTGCCTTTTTTATAGTTAATATTTTTTGAGTTATGTTATTGCCTTGAGTCTATTTGTTCTTTGAGGTAGGCTCTGTTCCACAACAGAACCATTAAAATAAATGACCATAATATAAACTGGACAGTGTTACCCTGTTGGAAGCTCTTATGGGAGGAGGTGAAGGCATGAAATAGAGCAGGCAGACTCCTCTGGGAATGCAAGTGAAGTTTTCATGAATAATTTGGAATATAGCCTGTGATCTTGCTTTAATTTCCTTAGTATCTGAAATGGGGTATCTGGGGTGCCTGGGTGGCTCAGTCGGTTGGGCGTCCGGCTTCACGTCAGGTCATGATCTCGCGATTCGTGGGTTCGAACCCCACATTGGGCTCTGTTCTGGCAGCTAGCTCGGAGCCTGGAGCCTGCTTCGGATTCTGTGTCTCCCTTTTTCTCTGCCCCTCCCCTGCTCACGCATGTCTCTCTCTCTCAGAAATAAATAAAACATTAAAAATATATTGAAAAAAAATGAAATGGGGTGTCTTCTTAGAAACCCGGCTTGCGGAGAATGTGGTAAGTGTGCTGTTGTTTCCAGTAAGAGAAGAGAATAGAGCATGGAAATCCTGTCTTGGGTGTCTTCCCTCTCAAGCAGGCGGGGGCGAAGGGGATCAGCATAAAGAGAGGCATACCATCACTAGAGGATAGTATGATACCGCATCATGCATCTCATACATTTTTCTGGAATAGGGGAGAATTTTTTGTAGAAATTCCACTGTAATCTCTGTATTGTCAATTTCTTAAATATCTTTGTGCTTGCCCTGTGGGCTGAAGGAATAGCAACTTTCCAGCTGAAAGAAAACCTCTTTCTGAACTATCCGTGTTTCTTCCGAAAAAGAAACTATACCTTGAAACTACCCGCTAAACCGAGTAGTTAAAGTGTCATGTCATGGGGCACCTGGGTGGCTCGCTAGAGAAGTAGACTGCCCAAACAAAGAGGATAGCAGAGGAAGGGGAGCCAGCATTCAGGTGCCGCACACTCACGCAATATGATGTGAGTGTCAAAGGAGATTAACACCAGAGTCCCAAGATCTTCGTAGCGGTTTGCTCAGCGTGGGTGAATGAAGCATCCACCTTACTTTGCTAGGTACCGTAAGGATCGCAAAGACAGTTACGATCACCAGGAGCCAAGTTTCGGAGAGGGCAGTTGAGAACTACGTGCCAGAGGGTGCTGGACAAAGCAGAGTGTGGTGAAGGCATGGTCTAAAGGAGAAAGGTTACTGTAGGGTGTGAACAGGGGCCATAAGTGGCTTTGGAGATGGCCCTCGAGAGATAGATTAACAGGAGACACTGGGGACAAAGGGTAAGAGCAAGAAGTGTTTTGAGGGAGTCCCAGTGTGAAGAGTGACAGGGCAGTCAGCCCCACACCCCTGGGGAGGGCAGAGCCCGGTCATGGTCCATCTGAGTTGAAACTGAGGAACGGTGCTGCCTAGCAGAGCGGACCGGCGGAAGCCATGCGGGGTGCGGCTCTGATGCCTCGCTAGGGAGCTTGGGGACATCAGAAGTGGTGTGTGATTAGGCAGGCGGTTGTGGCACATCATCTGGTCTGCACCGGAGAACCTGGAGGCCCAGAAGGCAGTTCTTCCCGTGACTCAGTAGGAGATGAGCTCTAGGTTGTGATGGTGGCTGTGGGAGCGAAGGGCACCTGTCCTTCTTGCCCTTCCAGGAGGTGGCTGGTGATTGGTCACAAACATGGACACTTGTTTGGCCTCTTCCTGCAGCCTGCGCTCATTCCTGATCTGCGGAGGTAAACAGTGAAATGACATAACAGTTGAGCTCTTCCTTCGTTCACTTCACGCAAACCCCTCTCCTAGTTGAGTGGGCGAATTGTTTGCAGCCCGAACTGCTGAGTGGGTGCTTCTGAGGCCTATTCAATAGGTAATGAGATTTCCCAATTTCAAAGCGCACAGAGCCTGCGGAATGGGACCATTAGTTTGGTCTGAATTTTGGAGCTGCTGGAACTTCCTATTGCTTTAGTGATGTAGCGTGGTTAAACACACACAGCTCAGTCTCCGTGGCCTTTATGCTGAGTGTTTAGATGTGGTGGCTTTACATAGCATGAGGGAGGAACTTAGGCCGAATGAAATGAGCAGCGGCCCTGGAGGTCTGGGGGGTAACCAGACTTTGGTCCTGATGGGCAGCCGCCCCGCTCAGCCCTCTGTGCCAGTGGTGCCAGGCTCGTGGGTGGTTGCGGCTGGAGGGACTGAGGAAGCGATCACTGACACAGCCAGATTTCCACGTTCCCATTCCCTTTTGTCACTGCAGCCCAGGGTGCCGTGGAACAGGTCACCGAAGGAGCGGAGAATCGCTGAAGGAGTCGTGTGCTGTAGGTGGTGCGGGCTGGGGGGCTCGGGAGACGGGCCCTCAGGCTAGCACTTGCCCTTGGCAGTAATCCCAGAGAGCCGCCCTGCTGAGTTTCCCACCAAACTCGATACCATCACCATTACGCTTTGGATGCACTCGAGTTGCCTTTGCCTCTGCTAACAGTGTTGTGTCCTCCCTGGGAGAAGGAAGCTGAAGCAAAACAGGTGGCCGGAGATGATTAGAATTGGAATTGACTCTCACTTTCCTCTTCTTCACCAAAATGAACAGCAAAGGGGAGGTTGATCACCAAGAGCAAACTGCCTGGCAGCAGGCTCCCTGTGAGGTGCTGCCCTCTGAACACGCTGGTGCCCTGGTCCGCTGTGTTTGGGTGGCTTTGCAGCTGCTATTTGGCGAGCGTCCCGTCCGGGTGGGAGGGTCTCAGCCCTGCTCCACCCTGGCTTTTGTATTGGCGTGATTTCGCCAACAATGAAGCGGAGGGTGAAGCCACACCCTGCTATCTTCTTGTCACATTTGTCTTAGCCGGTGCTGTGCTGTCAGGAGGCGTGCAGCTAGCAGGCTTGCGCGTGTTTTTAAATGGCCCCTTGGAGTGGAAAGCAGCCTGTCCGCATGCAAATGAGACCGCCCCGTGTGCTCTTGCAGGAATGTCGTGTGTGGGACCTGTTAGCTGGGAATCGACCAGAGCGCGGTCAGCCCCACACCGGACGCAGCGCTTGTACGTGTCTGTGGCACCCATCTCTTCGTTACATGCCTGACCAGTCCAGACTCCGTAATGTTGCCATAGTACCAGGTTTCATTAGTTTTCTGGTCATGTTCTGCTAATAGCCAGATGGTATAGGGATGTGTTTTTCCTTTACTTAATTTGTCCAGATTTCATTTTCCCTCTTTTACAGGGATTTTAATTTTGAGAAATAATTAGTGGGAGGCTGATTAAGCAGAGATACGTGCCTGGGCGTCGTATTTAACTACATGAGCTACAGATAATGACACACCCAGGCTTGCTGGGGGTTTGGGTTCGGAGGAGTTCCTGCTCTTTGGCATGTTTAGGAGTTCCTGACTTACAACATGTCATAAAACTTACATTTAGAGAAAATAAGAACTGGCAAGTTACCAGAAACTGGTGGGTTTGGATGTTCAGAAGTCCTTTATGGATTTTGAAAGGTAAGAATGAAAGCTAGGGAGTTATGCACATCTTAGTGTTTTCCTTTCGTTGTGCTCTTTCCCGTTGTTGTGGTTTTGGAATTTGTAGCCATTCAAATGGCCTCTAGGTGGGTCTGCACCCTATGACAGCAGGAGGATTTGCTTTAAAATTTTCATTGTAGCTGGTGCTTAACTGTGAGGCCCTTCCCCAGACTAGTCAGTTTGAAATCATTGGGTCTTCTCAGGCATCGGATTAGCAAGGATTAAGGGTGAGTTACCTATTTGAGGCTTGCAAATGATTCAGGGCCGGAAGGACAGAGTTTCTGACTGAATTTTGCTTTATACTTGGGCCTACAGGAATTGTGGGAGGCGCTCCCGTGAAGAATGGACCAGTGTGCGTAATCATGGAATCTCCTCACTAACCTGCTCTCCTTGAGAAGTGAGAGAGAGTGGGTCAGGGGAGAAGGAAAAGCGGTCACCATGAAGCTAAAGCAGCGAGTCGTGCTGTTAGCGATTCTTCTTGTCATCTTTATCTTCACCAAAGTTTTCCTGATTGACAACTTAGACACGTCTGCTGCGAACCGAGAGGACCAGAGGGCTTTTCACAGAATGATGGCCGGCTTGCGGGTGGAGCTGGTGCCCAAACTGGACCACACCTTGCAGTCTCCCTGGGAGATCGCAGCCCAGTGGGTTGTTCCACGGGAAGTGTACCCAGAAGAGACACCGGAGCTGGGCGCGATCATGCATGCCATGGCCACCAAGAAGATCATTAAAGCTGATGTGGGCTATAAAGGGACACAACTGAAAGCCTTACTGATACTTGAAGGAGGACAGAAAGTCGTCTTCAAACCTAAGCGGTAAGTCTTCACCTTAGGAGTTATACGTGCTAGTTAGTTGGTTCACATAACTTGGAATTTGTAGGAGGCCATTCATCACCTGCTCTTGGTATTCTCTCCAGCAACACGAGAGGAGTAGACGACAAGATCTCTGAAGTATTTTCTAGCTCTTAGTGTTCTCTGATTCTCTGAGGGGGGCCAAATTTGTAGGAACATATTTTGGTCCTGTGTAAGACTGAACATTTTACACTTCTTGCTCTCCTTGATTCCTGAATTTATATGTGCTGTGTGCCAGATGTTAGAGATACCAAAGGAATTGGTTAGAAAGTAAGCGACTTGTACCCAAAAGTGTGCAGTTAGAGGCCGGATAAACAAGCACATATCAGGGATGAAGGAGTTACCCAGAGCTAGAGTGGCTTTGGACAGATGACTAAAGTCTAAGGACTTAAGCTCTGCTTCTGTCACATGGGTTTTGTTTTGATTTTATTTTAATTCATAAACTTTAGTTTTTGGAGCAGTTTTAGGTTTATGGAAAAATCGAGGGCGAGAGTACAGAGTTTGTCCCACCCCCCCACTTCCCCTATAATTAATTTCCATTAGTGTAGTACATTTATTGCAATTGAAGACCCAGTCTGAATTTATTAACTAAAGTTCACTGTTCGCAGTAATGTTCATGCTCTGTGTGGTACATTCTGTGGATTTTGATAAACCTCTAATGACAAGTGTCCGCCATTACAGTGTCACAGAGAATGGCTTCCCTGTCCTAAAAATCCCGTGTTCCACCTGTTCATCCTCCCCCGCTCCCTCAAACTCCTGGTAACCACTGATCTTTTTACTGTCTCCATAGTTTTACCTTTTCCAGAATGCCGTTTAATTGGGATTATACCTTTGTAGCCCTTGCAGAGTGAATGCTCTCACTTAGCAAAATGCGTTTAAGTTTTCTCCGTGTCTTTTTGTAGTTTGATAGCTCATTGCTTTTTATTACTGAGTAATATTCCATCGTCTGGTGGTACCACAGTTTGTTTCTCCATTTACCTACCGGAGGACATCTTGGTTCCTTCCACATTTTAGTGATTGTGAATTAAGCTGCTACAAGCATTCGTGTGCAGGTTTTGTATGAAGTAAGTTTTCAGCTCATTTGGGTAAATACCGAGGAGCATGATTGCTGGATCATATGGCAAGAGGATGTTTAATTTTGTATGAAACTGCCAAACTGCCTTCCTACGTAGCTGTTCTGTCTTACGTTCCCGCACGCAGGGACGGAGCGTCCCCATTACCCCACAGCCTCGCCAGCATTTGGGGTTGTCAGTGTTGGGGGTTTTGGCCATTCTGATATGTGTGTAATGATGCGTCATTGGTTTTTGGGCTTGGGGTTTTTGTTTTTTGTTTTGCCTGTTTTAAAGGAGAGAGTTGGGCCATTTTAGTTACTTTAGTCCAGGCTCTGAAAAAGTAAGCTGACTTCTGTGTTGTCAGACAGTGATCCCTCGGAGACTTCCCTAACGCTCCACAGAGATCATTTGTTTGGCAATTCTGCAGTATAATCAATGTTTTCAAAAGCTTTCTGTGAGTATATGAATTTGAAATAGGTTAACATCATGGTAATTCACATTTTTTTGCCAGGAATTAGTTACCAGTGAATTTTCTCCCAAGTTTGTAATGTCTAAAGTTTTCTGTGTACTAAACATTTTTCTCATTCCTTAATAGAGCTTTTTGAGAGAATTATAACAGATACTATCTTTGGGTCTCTTGCTGGTGGGAGAAGAAATACGGGGTGTGGATGTACAAAATTCAGCTGTGATAAGAGTAGTTGGCCCACCTGTGTTCATGATCCACCCGTCAGTAGATAGCACACTGCCAGAGGACGAATAGATTGGGATCCCAGAAATGGAAGAAATCTGCATTTGCCTGGAACTGGGAAGTGTGATGTATGGAAGATATGGAAATTAGGAAAGTAAAAATACAGCACACTTTTTTTGGAGAATAGAAAAGTCTGATGGCAGGTGATGTGGAAAAACGCATGGTTATGTGGGCCCTGTGATGTAATTTCCATTGAATGCATACCACTCACCAGGCTCTACGCTAAGTACTTTTGTATCTGTCAGTGCTTTGAGCCTTCATCACAACTATGGGCAGTTACACTTCTAAATTATTTTTTTTTTTAAGTTTATTTGAGAGAGTGCGAGCAGGGGTGGGGCAGAGAGGGAGAGACAGAGAGGATCCTAAGCAGGCTCGAACCTAAGGAGCTCGAACCCATGAACCACGAGATCATAACCTGAGCTGAAACCAAGGGTCAGACACCCAACCGGCTGAGCCACCCAAATGCCCCTACACGTCTTATTTCGAGAGTAAGAAACTGAGGCTGAGAGAGAGTAATGGACCTGACAAGGTCACCTCACACTGACTGGCGTTTGGATCTCTGTATGAGTAGCTGGTGTTCCGCCACGCACATGTGATTCTCTTCAGTAAATGTGATGACAAGGTGCACCTGTCATCGGAAATCACTAGTTTAGCTTTGCAATGTAGTCCTTGACCTCTTGGTTTGTGGCCTGGGTGATCAGCAGTGTAAGCAGGGTAGTGGAAAGAAGGCAGGCTAAAAACAAGTGAAATTGGCGCAGAGATGAGTTGTGGGCATTTCATGTTTAAATAAGAGGAAGGCCCCTCCGTACCCACCGTGTGTACGCTGGGGGCTGGGGGTGAGATGCGCCAGCAGGAAGTGGGAGAGAAGACAGGTATTCCCGTAGTGGCACTGTTAGCGTTGGCCCGGGCGCAGGTAGGCCCGCGGCGCTCCGATGAGGTACAAGTGGAGGTAGGGGAGGCCCGGCTGGTGACTGGGGGAGGTGGCAGCCGGTAATCGCACGAGCTCACCTGGTCACAGTTGCTTCCTCTCCTGTCCCTACCACCCCTGCAGCCTTCCCCTTCCCTTCCTGAAGGCCACTGTCATTCCTCCTCCCGACACCCGTATTAGTGCTGTGTTCCCAGCTTGAAAGCACTCAGGGGCCTCCCATTGCTCACCGGGCAGAGGGCAGCCTCCACGGCCTAATGGTCAGCCCCTGGCGGTCTGGCCCTCCTCTCTGCACCCTGCCTGCTCTTCATTCCTGCCAGACTAGTCCCCACCCCCTGACTGCCCGTGCCCACTCGCAGCCCCCGGGGACCATCCTCCACCGCCCACGAGGTGCACAGGCCCTGCCCTGGGGGGGAGGGGGTCTCGCTCTTAGTCACTGCACGCACCCACCTGTGCTGGTCACACCTGGCACTGTCGCAGGCTGTGCAAGGTGAGTGTACGTTCAAGTGCTTGTAGACGTTGACTCTGGTCCCGAGCTACCCAGCAAATTGCTATTCTGACCCTGGGGGCCTCAGAGGCTACGTAGTCCTAGTGTAAGCGCAAATTAATGTCCTTGGTCAGACTCTGATGTCCTTCCCCAGAAGGATAGGAGTGATTTATTGGCAGTTACTCTATGAATTTTGCTTCTCTGTCAGTGACTTAAGATGGATCACTCTCTGCCTGAGAGGAGGCTCTGCACCCCTGCTGCTAAGGTGACACATGCACCTGCCGTTAATAGCCACTCGTGGTTTCCGCACTTCTGGAGCCGGGTTGGCCATGTCCTCCTGTCAGAGATAGGACACGTGTGCAGTGCATGCCATTTATGGGAAGACAGTGATGCTTTTACTTGCACGTTTTGCCTTACGTTAGGAATGTGATTTTTTGTGTGTGTGTAGCTATATCCATTCTGGAAGTAAATTGGCTTTCCTCAGGCAAAGGCTGCAGTTGTGGGAAAGCAACAAGGAGCAGGGGCCTAGGAATGGGTAGGAGTGAGTGAGTGGTCCTAGGAAAGTGCCGGAAGGGACCTCGGAGATCGCCAATGAGCTGTTGGGCGGGTGAGACGCGGAGTTCTGACTGTGTATCTCACAGCCGAAGTGGGAACCAGGGAGTCAGACCTGACTCTGCGGCAGCTCTGTGCTTCTTACTCCTTTCCCTTTTCTCTCCCTCCCTTCCTCTCCAGGCCACCCCTGATGTTTCTGTATTCCTCTAGGGTTTTCCATTTCACTCAAAGCAGCCTTTTGATGTATTGGAAAGCTGTCTAATGTTTCCCTGGAAGGAATGGCCTGCACATACCCCCCTTTATGTGGAGGCCCCACCGGGGTCCCCGACAAAGAAAGTATCCCAGGACTGTCCCCAGCTGTACGGACAGCCTGCAGCTGTAGTGGGGAGAGAAGTGCTTGGGGAGTGTTGGCTTTTATTGCAGTTCTGTTTAAAACTTGAGCCTCATTTGGGAGGTAGCCATACGATCCTAGGTAGCCTGAATATTGCTTTGACACTAGAAATGTAAAAACTACGTGTGAACATTTTGACCATGTTAAGAAGCTGGCCTCCAACCAGGTGATGCACAGCTGTCTTCTGACGTATATGTTCCATCACTTTGCCTGGAAAATGTGTTTTGTGGATATATGGTTTCACTTTATATTCCAAGGTCATTTATGTTGAAGTTCGCTGCTTTTTATCGCAGCGTTTCCCACTTCCCCGATGCCAGTGTCCTCAGTGGGGCAGCCCCACTGTGCTGCAGTCTCCATTCATTTCTGTTTTACAGTTGCCTGTAAAGCCTAATAAATAGGCCTTTTGATTCAGGAAATGTATGCAAACAGTAGAGGTTATAGGTGAATTTAGTGTCTCTTTCTTCCTAATTAACAGTTAAATGGTTATCTTTTTTTATGAATAGTAGAAAGAAATATTCTAGTTTTTATTAGCCTTTGTTTATGTCATGCATGTGATGCAAAATAATCAGAATGGAATTTGAGATGAAAGAGATCTTGGAAATTGCCTCCTGGTCCAGCTCCTCACATATTGTAGATGAAGAATCTTAAGACCCAGAGAAGAGACTGGTTTTGTCGAAGGTTACCCAGACAGGTCATGACAGAGCAATATACCTAGCTACCGTGCCAGTCCAGCATTCCTTCCACACGTCATCATAAACAGAAAAAGAAAAAGAGGATGGTTATTCAGACATCTTTTTTCAAATGCACCTTTGCCTCCTCATTAACAAAAGCTGAGGCATATCCATACCGTTTTTCCCCCTCTAAGAAATCTAAACGTCTCTTATAAGCCTTGCCATAGCCATGCTGGTAAAGAGACATTTTAATTGTATGTTTCCCTTCGTTTCTTTAGTTCAGTCTAATAATATTTTAGTAAACATTTTAGTAAACATTTATTAAGCACCAGCTATAGGTTTAACATTGTGCTAGGGATACAGAGATGGTCCTTGCCTTCCAGAAAATGACCTTATAGTGTTACTTAAGCTACACCAAGAGTCTTTTAGAGGGATGGAAATAACATCTTCCGTGTTTTATTCATAGAATGATTGCTGAGGCAGAGAGAGAATTCTGGTTTCCTTCTCCACTTTATCTTCACCCCACCTACCAGAAATTTGTCCTAATCCACAGCCATTCTCAGCTTTGACTGAGAAGGCGTCTGCAGAGCAGAATCAGGCCTGCTGAAGTATCTGTTATGTTGTCTCCTCTGCTGCCGAGTAATTCACGTCTCCATCTGTGCTTCCCATTCACTCTGCAGGTATAACCGAGACTATGTGGTAGAAGGGGAGCCATATGCTGGCTATGATAGACACAATGCAGAGGTAGCAGCCTTTCATTTGGACAGGTACGTGCCATCATGGAGGGCTATGTTTGTTTTGTTGCCTTTTAAAGATATCTTGGAGAGAGCTTGTGGCCTCCTTCTAAAGGAAGCCACGCTAATAGCTTTGACTTGGTACCTGGTTTAGATAGCCGATGAACAGAGTGCGTTAAATTTGTGAGTCCCTCATAATCTGGGTGGTTCTAGGAATACCGGAGTAAATATCTTCACTCTATGCTTGCTAAGATCATTTCATTTTGGTATACCCTCTGTGGTCATGAGCCAAAGTGTTCTTGGTAAATAGGATGGCAGGATGAAAACCAGAATTGAAACTCCAGTCCCTATGTTGAATTGGGCGTTAATTAGACCTGACAGTACTGTTTTGTTTTGTTTTGTTTTATTTTTGTTTTAAGTAGGTAACACTCACTTAATGTGCTGGAAGCACATAGCATAACATATATAGTGAATTTTATTGTCTTTCATACAAAATATGCATGGCTTCAATAACCAGAGTAATTCCAAAAGAAAAATAGATGTAAATTCTAAATGTATAAGATAACTAAGGAAAATTAATATTTTTTCAGCAGGTGGCTAGTTAGTATTATAACTGAACTGCCTGTATCTCATTTGCTCTTCTGATCAGCTCTTTCATCAGGGCGTTTTTTTTTTTTAATGTGTATTTTTGAGAGAGAGAGAGAGAGCAGGGGGAGGGGCAGAGAGAGAAAGAGACACAGAATCCGAAGCAGTCTCCAGGCTCTGAGCTGTCAGCACAGAGCCCAACACAGGGCTTGAACCCACTAACCATGAGATCATGACCTGAGCTAAAACTGAGAGCCAGACGCTTAACTGACTGAGCCACCCAGGCGCCCTGCTTCAGGGCATATTGACAGACTTTAAAAGAAATGTTCACAGTATTTTTAAAATGAATGTGTAAAGGAAATGAGAAGAAATCAAAGATGGACTTTTGTCTTTTTCTGGATTATGAGGATTTTCTAGGCACAAAAGCAATAATTGAAAAATCTCCCTCCCCCCCCCAAAAAAAGAAAAGAAAAATCCCAAAGGAAAACTATTCGGTGGCCTCAGCTAAAGTTAAAGTTAACTCATATCAAACAAAATTTAAAATCAAACTAGGAGAAAATACTTGAACCTAATGTAATCCAAGCATTCATATTATAAATATTTTATATATTTATATATTATTTTTAAAATATATTTTTATTAAAATTTTTAATTAAAAATTTATTTATATATTTTATTAATTGTATATTCTTAAATATTATAAATATTTATACAAATCCAAATATGTGCTAAAACTCTAACAGAAAATGGTCTAAGGACACAGTTGACGGAATAGAAATGATTTGCTACTAAATATGGCAGGGGGTTCATCCTCACCAGTAACAACAACAAATCCAGTTGAGGGGCGCCTGAGTGGCTCAGTCAGTTAAGTGTCCTACTCAATTTCAGCTCAGGTCATGATCTTGTGGCTTCATGGGTTTGAGCCCCGCATTGAGCTCTATCCTGGCAGCACAGAGCCTGCTTGGGATATTCTCTCTCTCTCTCTCTCTCTCTCTCTCTCTCTCTGTCTCTCTCTCTGTCTCTCTGTCTCTCTCTCCCCCACACCCCCCCACTTTCTCTGTCCCTCCCCACCTTGTACTATCTCTGTCTCTCTCAAAATAAATAAATAAATAAAAAATACCTGGGATGCCTGGGTGGCTCAGTCAGTTAAGCATCCGACTTTGGCTCAGGTCATGATCTCACAGTTTGTCAGTTCAAGCCCACGTCAGGCTCTGTGCTAACAGCTCAGAGCCTGGCGCCTGCTTCAGATTCTGTGTCTCCCTCTCTCTCTGTCCCTCCCCTGCTCATGCTCTGTCTCTCTCTCAAAAATAAACACTTAACAAAAAATTTTCTTAAAAACCCAAAAAAGAAAAAATCTAGTTGAAACCATGGGATACTACTTTCTTCTGCTGAAAATGGCAGGATTTTTTAAAAACGATAGTACTTTATTGGCAGGAGTGCACTGAGATTCATATGCAGCCTGTGGCATTGTTAATTGGTTCAGTCTTTCTTTTTAAGAACTCTGGCATGTACCAGGAACCTTAATGTTCCTATGCTTTGGATGAGTAATGTAACTACCTTTTTACACAGTTATCTAAGATATTTCTAGGAAGGTATTTCTAGGAAGTACCATGGAGAAAGCATGAAATTCAAAGATATATATATACCCACTATCTTAGCTGTAGCATTTTCAGTAGTGAAAAACTAGTAGCAGTCTAAACATCCAGGGATATGGAAAAGGTTAAATAAATGTTTGTTCACAGCACTATGAATTTTCACTGCCTCTTTTAAGACCTAGCGGTAGAGAGTTAGGTAGATCCTGCTTCTCACTAAATGACATGCTAGAATTCGTCTTTCCAAGACCTCATTTGTTTCCATTTTCTTCATTCCCGAACCCCTTCCTGTTTCCCTTCTGATGGACACGAGCAGTGCCTGAAGGTCATTTTCCCATATCTATACCTGTCCTTCATAGCATCCAACGCACTACTTTGTGTTAATCCAATCAAGTAAAGTGGTCCGTCATTGTTACTTATTTTTGTTTCCCTAGGAAACAAAATTAGCAAAATTGAACGTCTCCTTATCTTTTCATAGCACAGCCACCTATTTGTTAACTTCAAGTGAAGTGGTCTTTGTGCAGAAATCACTGCCTTTGATGTGAATTACATATAGTAATGGTTCAGTTCATGACTTGGCTTTGGGGATCTTGTATTTAAAAGTCCTTCCCTACCTCAAAGTCTGAAGCTGTTCTCTAGTTGTACCTCCACCCGTTGTGTTAACTGCCGCTCTGATGGGCCCCTCGGCGCTCACTGGCTGCTGTTCTTCGGCCCTGTGGGGGTCATTAAGGAGGAAAAGTACTTCCCGTCCATGGCTCCTGACACTTCTCTGCTCTGGGATGCTATTTCTCCATTACGTTAGTATTTAACCACCTTCTCTGGCCTTGGGAGGTTCTCTCCATGTTTATGTTATTTTGCCATTTCTGTTGATTCACTTGCATTTGTGGCTTTTCTAAGATTAAGTTTAAGACAGAGTCAGTTGGCAACCGTAAACAGTGAATTATTTATTCTCGCAGCTATTTTTAAAGGTTTCATAATGACATGAGAAAAGGCTCATGATCTACTGATGAGTGGAAAGCAGGATACACATTGGGTATAGCAGAAACTCATTGTACGTATATACACAAGAGCATGTATGTTTTATACGTACACGTAAAGGGAAAAATGCGCATATGCCATAATGTCAGTAGTTGTTTCTAGGCTGTGGAATTATGGATGGTCTTTATTTTCTTCATTATAACATGACTGCGCGTTCCAAATCCTGCCCCTTCACTGAGTGTGTATTTTTTTGCCAGTAAATTTTAGTTTTTAAAAAATGATGGTGTTCAACCATAAGGTTATACTTTCAACCATTAGAGAGAAGTATCGTCGCATGTATCTGTATTTAAGTAGTCCTGTGGGTTAATCCTTTCAGACCAATCTGATAGTTGCCTGCCAGAGTGCTGGTTTACCCAAAGCTTTGTACCCATGTATGGATTTAAGTCCATTTTTTAATGCTTTGTTAAAGTGTATTTAAAATTTTTGTTAGGAAAAATTTGTAACAAATTAGAACAGTATAATGAACCAGTGTATCTGTTTCCCCGATTTAGCAATTCACATTTTGCCAGATTTGTCTTGTCCTTTTTGCTGAAGTATCTATTAACATAAATTACCTACATCTTGATATTAAACTCCTAAATATATGTACCTTTAAAATATATTTACCTACGGGGCACTGGACTGGCTCAGTCAGTGGAGCATGCAACCCTCAATCTTGGGGTCATGAGTTCAATCCCCGCGTTGAGGCTAGAGATTACTTAAAAATAAAAACTTCAAAATATATATATTTACCTATGAACCAACAATATCTTTTAAAGACTACGTTACAAAATATACCCCCAAAGATTTTTCTCTTCTGTTCTTCAACCTCCCAAACCAGGATTCTGGGTTTCCGCCGAGCCCCCTTGGTGGTTGGCAGATTTGTTAATCTACGGACAGAGATCAAGCCCGTTGCCACGGAGCAGCTGTTGAGCACCTTCCTAACCGTAGGTAAGAAGATTATAGAGGACATTTAAATAGAGGAGTAGTTAATAAGTTAAGTGGGATGTCATTGAGCAAGCTGGTTTGTGACTTTCAGGAACTGAAGAACTCAAGGGAGTACACAAATCAGGCAACTTGTTCTCAGGTTATTGGGGGAAATGGATCTGACGGTAGGTGGCCAGAAAACGAAAGTTTTCCCTGATGTGTGCTTTGTTGTGTCTGTGGAGTAGGAAAAGATAATTTACTGATAGTGTAAGTAGGTAACAACCTTATTTCGATCTGCTTGGTCTTAAAGTAAATCTCAAACTTAAATTTTAGCCTAAATCTGTTACTGTGTGTGTATTAGTAACTTGGTGGTGTTCTTCCTGTTCCTGTCCTTTCTTGGGAACTGTCTCCCTAGAACTGAGCAACCCTTAAGGCAAGTCTGTAAGAGGGTCAGAAATGCCCTTGTAGAGTTGTGTTTGGGCCTGAAAGATCACCCCTGCCTTCTACTCTGCAAGGGCTAGCCCGTAACTCACTGTGCACAGGCCCGGCGCTGGGCTCTGGGCTCTCCCTCCAAGGTAAGGAATCTGAGCTAAAGTCTCATTCCTGTTCTTGTGGGCACAGTGAGAACGGGAGGGATTCAGAGGTGCTCTGGGCTCTGGTTTCAGCCTCATCGTGGTGACATTTTCAGTGACACGGCGCTCTGCATTATGATACAACTATCGAAACAGACACCGCAAGATGAATTTCAGCTTGCTTGGCTAGAATGAATGGATTTATATTTCCAGTCAAGTGAAATTGAATATTTAAAGGGCTTGGGACAGATTCATCATTCAGAATTTAAATGTAGAAGGCTAAGGCTACGCTGTTCTTAGAAAGAACCAAAAACACACAGTACCACTGATTTGTTTCGTGTATTTTCTGATCACTTTTGCCTGTCCAATTTTATGCTCAGGCAAACACGAATTCTGCTGGATGAGAGGAAGTCAAGAAGAATAGGCCAGAGTCTCTGCTCCCTGGAGACTCATAGGTTAACTGTCAGACATGGTGCCAGGGGTGAGGGAGAGAGAGGCCAGAAGGTTTGTAGAGGAGGTTATTGTCACTGAGGCTGAGTCCTGAAGCATGAGTAGGAGCTGCCCAGGCAGCGAGGAGCAAAGGGCATTAGGCAGAGTAGCAGGAAGGAAGAACGGAGCGCGGGCATCGAGACCTGACAGTATGTAGGGTTGGCACACGTGGGGAATGAGCTTCAGGATGCACCCTCAGCACAGGGCAGTGTCTCAGTGGGCGCTGCCGGAAGTAGTCATGGACCGCGTGGCTCATGGACAGTGGAGACTTATTTCTCCCAGTTTTGGGGGCTGGAAGTCTGAGATGAGGGTGCCCGCGCAGTTGGGTTCCAGTGAGGGCCCTCTTCCTGGTGTACAGTCAGCCACCACCTTGCCATGTCCTCATACACCAGAGAGAGCAAGAGAGGAATCCTCTCCTGTCTCTCCTTATAGGGGCGCGAACCCCGTCACGAAACTCCTCCCAGAAGTCCTGCCTCCAAATGCCACCACATGGGGGTTTAGGGGAGCCAGATGTGGGGCACAACCTCATGAACCATGAGGCCATGACCCGAGCCAAAACCAAGAGTTGGACGCTTAACCAACTGAGCCACCCAGGCACCCCTGGGGGGGCTAGATTTTAAATAATGAGCTACCCTTAGCACAATTTTAAAAGAGATGTTATTAGATAACTTGATATACAGTAACAGCTAAATTCTGTGTGACCCTTGCAGCTTGACAAAGCACTTTCACACAGTTACCTTATTTTGATCCCGTTGACAAAAGAATGCAGTAAGTAAGGGAGACTTACCTATATTTTGTACCTGAGGAAGAGGCTTGAAGGAGTTAGAGGACTTCCCCAAAGTCACATAGCTACTACTTGTTAGCCAGGACTCAGACCTGGATTTCAGACTCTAAAATATTTCATCTGCTTTATATTCTTTCAGTGGCGCGTGGGTGGCTCAGTTGGTTAAGCTTACGACTTCGGCTCAGGTCATGATCTCACAGCTTATAAGTTTGAGCCCCATATCAGGCTTTGTGCTGACAGCTCAGAGCCTGGAGCCTGCTTCAGACTGTGTCTCCCTGTCTCTCTGCCCCTCCCCTGCACTCACCCTCTTTCTCTCTCTCTCTCTCTCAAAAATAAACAAATATTTAAAAAATTATATTCTTTAAACAAAGTTCTGTTTTACTTCTGTGTGGTAGGAACTAGGTGCTGAATATACAAAAATGAATGACACCTTCCTGTCTTCAAGGAGCTTCATCTAACAGGGAAGCCAGACACATACAGAGGGCCCGTGAGCATGCGGAAGGGAAGGAGGGCAGATGTGAGGGTCAAGGTGACAGTTCATTAGTGAAGGTGGTATTTCATCCAAGTCTAAAAGGGAGAATAGCAGTCCTCTAGGCAGGTAGAGGGGGAAGGCACATCCTGGGAGTTTAGACTCTAACCTTTTTTGTACTGTAGGCTCTTGGTGCGCTAGAGGAGCGCACCAAGAGAATCTTGAGAATTTTGAGAATCTTTTCTCAAAATAACGTTTTTCAATATGTAAATTAGAACATATAGACTTCTAAACGAAACCAATAATGTTGAAATATAGTTTTGTTATCAAAAATTAGAAAAAGCAAGTTTGTGATATACTAGCATGTGCTTTGTTATTATTTAACACACGAAATAACAAGATCATAATCTCAGACCGTGTATAAATGATTCTTTGCAATGTCTGCAACAATGCTAATGCGATACTAGCAGATTAGCGGATAAGTCAGATTTCTCCTGGTGAAAAAGTCACAGGTGATGCAAGTACCTCTGGTTTGCTCCCTACTGTCATAATTGAAGGAAATGCTGAGTGTCAGATAGAAGCTAATGAAAAGAATAATTGTGCTCCCCTCCGATGCACAGGCTCCCTGAGTTAGGCCTGTTGCAGGTGGGGGATGGTGCATGGACAAGGGGATGAGAGTGAGAGACGCCTGTGGCAAGCTCAGGGGACCGTACTCTGGCTGAAGCGAAGGGGGGTGTGGTCCCGGTCCCGGCGCGGGGAAGGCAGGTGATCAGAGGGGTGTCACTGAAGGGCCTTGGCATCCCGCTGAGGAGTGGAGACTTTGCGTAGGCAGTGGGAGGCAGCATGGGAGGCGGAGAGAGGAATACTGGAAAGCCAGCTGTGGTGGCATCGTGGAGGGGCGAGGGGGCGGGGAGGCCGGGAAGGGGATGAGATGAGAGACGAGAGCTTGGAGAGGCTGGAGAGGCTGCGGTACTAGAGCAAGGATGGCAGAGAGGAAGAGTTAAGAGACACTCGAGAATTAAAATGGAACGGATTTGGTGAACATTTGGGCTGAGTGGGACAATTGAGAGAGAGAAAAAAATTAAGAATGACTCTCAAGTTCCGGGGTTGGATGACTCAGTGTATAACAAAGCTGTTAGCTGCCTTAGGAATGTAGGGACAGGAGCAGACCTGGGGAGGTGGAGGGGAGGAAGATAACGAATCAAATCTTGGATGTTTTGTTGCCTTGTGTGAAATAATCAGAACTAGGTGTATTTGGCTCTCCCCCCAGTGCCTGACACGGAGCTCCTAAAGCCCGGGTGAATTCCTGAGCAGTGAGAGCACAAGGCGTATCTCTTGTTCTCTGGAGGTGACTCCACGGGGGCCTCTGGAGGCCTCCCGGACGGGAGCTGGTCACCAGAAAGACAAGCCATAATCGGCAGGGTAGAATTTTCACCACCACCCCACCCTCTGCCTCCCATTCTCCAGAGAGGAGAGGCGAGGCGAGTCGAACATCCCTACCTGAGAAGGCCCTCCATAGACGTCCCGGTAGTCTGGGGTTTGGGGGCTTCCAGACTGGCGAACCAGAATGATTCCTTGTGCCCCTGGCCGGGCCCCCTGAGGACAGAAGCCCCTTTGTTGGGGACCTTGCCCTCTTTATCTCCATCGGGTTTTTGATTTGTATCCTTTGCATTAAACCAGTAATCTAGTGAGTAAACTGGTTTCCCGAGTCCTGTGAGCCTCCCCAGCAATGTTTTGTATTGAGGTATAATTGGCACACAACATTTATGTTTGTTTCAGGTATATATCACGATGACTTCAAATTTTATATATTGTGAGCTGATCACCACAATGTCTAGTTAACATCCATTGCTGTACATAGTTACAGAATTTTTTCTTGTGAGAAGAACTTTTAATATCCATTCACTTAGCAAGTTTCATTACAGCATTATTACTATAGTGCCGTGCTGCACTTTCCATCTCCAAGACCAACTTATTTTATAACTGGAAGTTCACTTTTTGACCCACCATACCCTGCCCCCCGCCCCCCACCTCTGGCAACTACCATTATATTCTCTGTAACTGTAAACTTGGTTTTGAATTGTTTTTTTGGTTTTGTTTTAGATTTTACATGTAAACAAGATCATACGGTATTTGTCTTTCTCTGTCTGGCTTATTTCATTTAGCATAATTCCCTGAAAGTCCGTCCATGTTGATGCAAATGGCAGGATTTCATTCTTTTTTTTTTTTTATGGGTAAATAATACTCCATTGTGTGTGTGGGGGGGGTGGCACTATTCATGCATCAGTGGACACTTGGGTTGTTTCCATATCTTGGCTATTGTAAATTACACCGCGGTAAACCTGGAGGCACCAACCCCTCAAGTTGGTGGCTTTTTTTCCCAAGTACTCGGAAGTAGACTTGTGAGCTCATATGGTAGTTCCATTTTTTAATTTTTGGAGAAGCCTCCACAGTGTTTACCATTGTGGCTACATCAGTTCACATTCCCAACAGCAGTACACGAGGGTCCCTTTTCTCCATGTCCTCACAGCACTTGTTATTTGTCCTTTGATGACATCTGTGCTCACAGGTGTGAGATGATAGCTCATTGTGCTTTTGGTTTGCATTTCTCTGATGATGAGTGATGTAAAACACCTTTCTTTTCAAAAAAATTTATTGAGAGAGGGAGAGAACATGAGCAGGGGAAGGGCAGAGGGTGAGGGAGAGAGAA